AAAAAAAAAAAAAAAAAAAATCAAATATTAAATCAATCAATCAATCAATCAACGGAAGAAAAAAAAAAAAGTTAAAAAAACGCGTTCATTTGTTTTTTCTTCATTTCTCCTCGTCCGCAGCCTAACCCCCCAATTAAAAATTGTTTTCTTTTTCATTTTTTTGTGTGAGGGGGTGGGGTTGGGGTTGCGTCGCCCCATGGCGCTTCCCGAATCCCCAACCCCCCTCCCTTCTGGTCGCCACGTGGCGTCAAAGCCGCGTGGCCGCACGGACACTTCTGCGGGATCGGCGGTCTGGCCGCGGCCGCGGACTTGGCCGCGCTTGGCCGCCGCTGAGGGGGATTCATACTGGATGGGTGAAGATTGTGGAGGAGGAAGAAGGTGTGAAGTGCTTGGCTATAGTGGATGAGCACTCGTGACCAATAGGGTCAAAAAATTTCGTCGAATTGACTAGCGAAGCTTGTTAGCGAAGCTTGTTAGCGAATTCGTGGTTTGTTGTTGGCGAAGATGACTTTGTAAAATCCCGAAAACCCTAAACTAAGTTTCGTTTTTACATAATCTTGACAATTCCGAAATTCCTGACAATTCACAAAAAATCGAAACTAAAAAAGTAAAGAAAATCCTAAAAAATCATGAAATTCGGGATTTTGTTATGAAAAAATACTTCAGTATGTCCCGTATATGTGTTAATCCCGACAATCCCAAAATTTCATAAAATTTACGAAAATTGGAAATTGCTGGAAAAATCCAAAACTTAAAAAAAAATCATGAAAATCGAGATTTCGTTGTCGAAATATACTTTAGGATGCCCCGGTTTACGTTATCTTGGGAATCCTGAAAATCCCAAAATTCACAAAAATTTTAAAAATTGCAAAAAAAAATCTAACAATTTTATAAAAAATTTTGTAAAAATTGGGATTTCATTACCGAAACAAACTTCCATATTTTCAGGATTTTAGGGGTTTCAGTATGTCACGTTTCTACGTTATATCTAGATGTGTTTTCTGGATTTCATTATCGTAATACACTTCAGTATTTTCGGGATTTTACCGAGATTCATTTTTAGGTTATATCACGAAGTGTTTTCGAAATTTTGTTACAAAGAAACACTTTGAAATTTACGAAATTTTACTAAGTTTCGTTTCTACATTATATCCCGAAGTGTTTTCGGGAATTCGTTACCGAAATACACTTTGGGATTTTCGAGATTTTACCGAGTTTTGTTTCTCCCGAAGTGTTTCATGATTTCATTACCAAAATACACTTCGGGATTTTCAGGGTTCGATCGGTTATATTCCGACGTGGATTCAGGATTTCGCTACCGAATCACACTTCAGGATTTTCGGAATTCGATCAGTTATATTCCGATGTGGATTCGGGATTTCGTTACCGAATCGCACTTTGGGATTTTTGGGATTCGACCGGTTATATCCTGACGTGGATTCACGATTTCGTTACCAAATTGCACTTCAAGATTTTCGGGATTCGATCGGTTATATCCCGAGGTGTTTTCGGAATTTCGTTACTGAAATACACTTTGGGATTTCGGGATTTACTTAGTGTTATTTGTACATCATGCCCCGATGTGGATTCGGGATTTTGTTACCAATTCGCATTTGGGGATTTTCGGCATTCGACCTATTATATCCCGGCGTGGATTCTGGATTCCGTTACCGAATTGCACTTCGGGATTTTTGGGATTCGATCGGTTACATCCTGACGTGTTTTTGGGATTTCGTTACTGAAATACACTTTGGGATTTTCAGGATTTTACCGCGTCTCGTTTCTACAATATATCCCGAGGTATTTTCGGGATTTCGTTACTGAAATGCACTTCGGGATTTTCGGGATTTTACCGAGTTTTGTTTCTACGATGTATCCCGAAGTGTTTTCGGGATTTCGTTACCGACATACACTTCGGGATTGTCGAGATTGTACCGAGTCCCGTTTCTACTATATATCTCGAAGTGTTTGCAGGATTTCGTTATCGAAATACACTTCAAAATTTTCAGGATTGTACCGAGTCTTGTTTCTATTATACATCCCGAAGTGTTTTCGGGATTTCGTTACCAAAATACACTTCAAGATTTTCGGGATTTTTGAGATTTTACCAAGTATCGTTTCTACGTTATATCGCAAAGTGTTTTCAAAAATTTTGTGACCGAAATACACTTGGGGATTTTTCGTAAATTAGTTAGTGTTGTTTTACATTATACCTCGAAGTGTTTTCGGGATTTCGTTACCGAAATACACTTCGGGATTTTTAGGATTTTAGTAAGTCTCGTTTCTACAAGATATCCCGAAGCTGCAACTGCCTTTGTGCCGAGATAGAAGGCAAGGGTTGTGCGTTTTATGCAATCGAGACAGAACTTGCACAAGAAGGAAGTGAAGTCGAGGGGGGGGGGGCAGAGAGAAAGAGAGAGAGAGAGAGAGATAGAGAGAGAGAGAGAGAGAAAGAGAGAGAGAGAGGGAAAAAAAAATAAAAAAATATGAAATCCAGAGCCGGAGAGTTAATGCAACATATGGAGCAACTACAACTGTTATCCTCTACACTAAGAACCGCAATGGTTTTAAACTGTGTTATGAGTCGCATCTGCTGCCGAGAACTGCAAATATCAAAGAATAGCAAACAATTAGCATCTTACAACTATCGGTATCCATCACCATACCCCTGTTGTTTATTCCGGCCAAACATGCTACTTCAATGCAGCTGTTCTTCTTTCTTTTTCAAGTTGCAACTACCTTTCTTGATGTTGCATTTATCACTAATGCTTGGCAATCGTTTTCGTGTTGACATTCATCATCTACGAACCTGTCATTTGCCGCTTATGTGAGTCTTGTTGAACTTGGGAAGTGCTGAGTGACTTAGTGATTATTTTCAGTTTCTTCTTTACTATGATGACTCTGATCTGAATATTGTTTCTTCAGTTTGTGAGAATTTCCCTCCAAGGGAACTCCACTTATACCTAGGCGACTCATAGGTATAAGTGAGCGGGATTGGGGTTCGTCTGAGCGGAAAATTGCTCCACTACGGGAAAAAATATAAGTATATTTTTTGTGTCACCTAGCTACATCTTTTTTTCAACTATTTTTTATTTTTACCTACGCAACCAACTAGACCGCCCGGGTGACCTTGTTATCCCTGGTGGCCAGGCCGCGCAAGGGCCAAAGTAGGTCTCATAAAAAAAAAACAAAAAAAAATCAAAAAAATCTGCAAAACAAACTATGTTATGCAGAAAAAGAAACTCGACAACTTTTCCCTCAGGGTCAGATCCTGCAATCAAACTCGCTTTCATTCACACTTCACATGCATGTAAACAGGTTGCTCAGCAAACTGGCGACGAGCGCCAACTCAAAATCAGAGATATGGCAA